TTTGTATTTTACAATCTTAGTATATTCTTAATATATAGTATATTAATATGTATAACTAAAATTACTAATAAAGATATAAGCAAGGCCTCACCTTAACACCAAAAAAAAAAAAAAATATGCCTTGAAGAATTTTCAGTTCATTTTTATATTTATACTATTCCTGATACTGCTTTTTTGATTCGATATATTTTTCTTCATTTGGAAATATTCTCTTTGCAATATCCAAGACATGGATATTCAGATCTTCAGCTTCATATAATTCAGTAAATCTCTTTTTATAATTTTGCATGAACTTTCTGTCCTTTTTTTTTTATATAAGACACCTGCTTGTGTTATGATAACTATAGCTTTTTCGATATCTTGCCATGTAGGTTTGAAGAATTCGACTCTGTTGATACTTGATCGATATTTTGAATAGTAGTTGACATTTAAATATATATTATGTTTTGATTATCTAAAGTTTTGTATATAATACTTTATAAAATTTTTTTTTTAAATAAATATTTCAGTATAATAAAAATGATAGATGAATATACTTGCCTGTTCTATCATAATTCTGGTAAAGTTTGTAGAAAAACCTGTATGTGTCCTGAGGAGTGTAGTTATCATTGGAAAGCTAAAATAAGAATATCTTGTATTGAATGTGGTAAACCTACTGGTTCAACTTTTGGTCATTATTTATTGCATATTAAGGGGTACTATGTAGTCCAGTACTATAATAGATTACATGATAGGGCTTCAAAATTAGAATCTGGATAACTAAAAAAGTTAACTCAGAATTTTGTGACCTTTACCGAAAATTTGTTACCCTTACCGAAATTTTGTTATCCTTTGTAATATATAGTTACATTTTTTGTTACTCTTTATGATATATGGTCACATTTTTTGTTACCTTTTGTAGTATATGGTTACATTTTTTGTTACTCTTTGATGTATATAGTCACATTTTTGTGTGTTAGGAAAGTAGTGAAGAATCGTCTTTAAATTAAATTCTGCTATATCAATTAGTATTGGTATGTAATTTAAGCTTGATTCATAATGAAAAAGGGATCAGGATATTCATTAAATTCATATCTTTCACCACTTCTTTTGGGCTTTTTTAATAGCAAGCTGTATATTATAAATAATTGATATCCTTTTTGATATGAATTTGTATAATTAAATGTGTTCTAGATATATAAAAAATCAATGCATTTTGATATAAAAATATGGCTAAAAAAATAAATCATGCCACATACTTGAAGTAATATAGCTAGTGACTTTCCTATATAGCCAAAAGCTTGAATTGATATGCAAAAAAAAATGATATGCTTAGTGATGTTTTTGGGTTGTAAAATATACCAAGATGACTAGTGCTAGGCCAGAACATCCTTTTTGCCTTACTAAAGTTAAGTATATATATAGAAATATAAGAAGTGCACAAGTGATCAAAATCAAAAAAATAAGATTCAAAGCCTTAGCAATAATCAAATTTATTTACTTAGAAAAAGAAAGAGCTCTATGGTCTTTACCAATTAGAAACAACAGCTTAGCATGTATTATATAGGATTATAAAGACTATAAACAAAAAAAAAAACAAGGAAGACATACAATTAAACTAATAGGATTAGCAAAAGGAGCCTTAGAAGTATTATTACTAAGAAGTTTTAGAAATAAAGAATTAAAAGTAGTTCACATTCCTCCTAACAGAAATGAAATCCAAAAAGTATAATAGTAATAATTTTTGAAAATGATACAGATCTCAAAAAAGCAAGTAGCAAATCATTAAGATATTACAATTATATATTATACTAGAAATTGACTAAAGAGAGAAGATCAGAAAGTAGAAACATGTTAATTTACAAAACAAAAATAATAAAAGAAACAATACAAATAATGAACATCAAAAAATTAATAAAAGACTAAATTATAAAAAAGAAAAGACAAATACAAAAGAAAATAAAAACAACAAAGACAACAAAAAAAACAAAAAAGACATATTAACTATCTGGGAAAGAATAGATCAATATCAAACTATGTTACAAAAAAATACTAAAAATATTAGTGAAGATGAGTGAAGAGCAGAAAAATTCTGCTTAATATTTTTAAAAATTGTTATAGTTAAAAACATAAACATGGATAAAGAGATTACAAACTTCCTGCAAAATGAAAAAAAAATATACAAAAGAATACAAAGAAAAAAAACTCTTTATTCCTTTAAAAACATTAGTAGGAAGAACAGAAGTAAAGAGAAAAAGACAAATAAAGTAGAAGAACTTAACAAACTTAAAAAAGAATAAAAACAAACAGATAGAAAAGAATTTAGAATAGTATATCACAATGTTAACAAACTTAAAACTAAAGAATAAAAACTAGAAAACTTTTAGGTTAAACAGAAAAAAAAGAAATATTAATATTAGATATAACAGAAACAAACATTATAGAAAAAGAAGAAAAATTTCTAATACATGATCTCAATATGCAATATAAAAGTTACTAGACTAGTACAATACCAGATAAAAAAAAAGGTTTAAAGATTAGTATACTAATAGAAAAGAAGTAGAAAAAACATATGAGAGCCATTAAAAAGATTAGTAAATATATAATAAAAGTGTGATTATACTTTAAACAATTAGAACTGATAGTGATAAGAATATATATTCTACCTAATGACAAGTTAATTAGCAAGAACATTCAACAAAAAGTGGAGAAAATAATAACAAGCAAGAAGAGATATATAGAAGTAATTATATTAGGAGACTTTAATTACACAGTAGACAATGTACTAGACAACCAATATTTATAAACAACAAATTATAAGAGATTATTATTATTCAATTGACTCAAAAGACAAAAGTTTACAGATTCATACAGAAGCTTTCACTTAATAAAAAAAGCATACACATGGTCAAGCTGTAAGCAGCAACATGAATTAACTATATATGGCTATCAGAAGTACTTGCATCAGGTTTACAAAAAGCAAATATAAAAAAAGCAGAAGAACTAACTAATAGTGATTACAAAATAATAATAACAGAAATATGGTTTAGAAATATAATCACAAACAGTAATAGTACAAACATTAAACAAAAAGACCAAGCAAGGATAATATATCTGTATGAAGAAACAAAACAAAAAGACTGAGAAAAATATGCAAGAGAACTACAAAACTAACTAGAATGAAAAAAGTTATCAAACTAGAAAAAAATAAAATATATATAAATTGCAATACAAATATGTTAAATTTAATATAATATATAATAGAAGGAGCTATAATTGAAACAGTAAATAAACAAATTCCAAAAAAGATGATTTTTAATACAAAAACAAACAAAAGACAAAGCAAGAAAAAAATGCAGTAAGACAAATATATTATTGAGCTGCAGCAGATAATCAAGAGAGTGAAGACAAAAAAAAAACTAGGAGGTAGAAAAAAAGAAATAACAAAAATAAACAACAAGCTTAAAGCTATAGAAAAAAAATAAAAGTAATGCTACTAAAGTTGTACAGACAGTGGTTAGAAGCCTAAATAGAGAATATAAAAGGCTGACAAAGAATTTTTAAAGAGAAAAAAGAAAGAGAATAAAAATAACCCCAAAGAAAACAAATAAAAGAGAATATAAACAAAAGATATGAAATGATCAAGATGAATCAAGAATGAATAATTACTAGTTTACTTAACAGACTATTCAAAAAGATAGTTCTCAACAGATTTATAACACAAAATAGAGAAGAAATAAAACTAATAACAGAACCAAAGGCATTTTAAGATAGTTTAACAAAGCATTTTCAAAACCAATTTAGAAAAAGAAAAACAAAATTAGAAGAAATGTTCAAAGAATAGAAAAAGATATATAAACTAAAAAAGTGAATTAAGGAGTTCTAGTATAAGACATTAGAAAAAAAGATAAAGAAGAAAGAATGAGAAGACATACTAAGAAAGCTTAAAACTAATATAACTTTAGAAATATCAGACATAAGCTATATACTAATTAAGCATGCAGAAAGAAAACATAAAAAATCTTTAAAGCTTTTACAAACCTTATTTTAAAAAAAGAAGAAATCTCAAAGAAATAAAAAATAGCACAAGTATATTTAATCTCAAAAGATGAAGACTAGAAATATAGTTTAAATAACATTAGACCAATAGCACTGATTGAACCTTTAGAAAAATAGTTACAAAAGTAGTAACAAAATAATTAGCTAAAATATTTACAGAAAAAGAAATATTTAAAAAACCAAATTATACAGATCTGCCAGGCAACTTAACAGAATAACCAATATATATATTGAATATGATAATAGAAGAAATACAAAAAAAAAATAAAAAAGTATAGATACTCTTATAAGATATAAAAAAGACTTTCAATTCAGTCCTACTAGAAAGTCTAGAATAGGTTCTTAAAAGAGTCAAAATACTACAGAAAACAAGAGAATACATATCTAATCTTTTTTGTAAATGATAAATTAAAGTTATTACAATTTATAGCTTAACAAAAGAAATAACAGCAGGAAATAGAATAGATCAAAGAGAAGTAATCTTACCTCTAATTTGGCATTTCTTTTATTATTTATTGTTGAAAAGAATTCAAGAAAACAAAACATTAGGCTATATAGTTAAACAGGAAATAACAGAAGGAATATGCAACAACAATATAGCAAAATATAGACAGACAGCAATTGTATATATAGATGATACAACATGAATTGCTAGCAACAAAAAGCAGTTATTAAAAATCCTTAAAATTGCAGAAAAGTTCTTCATAGTTAACAATATCAAAATAAATATGTTCAAATCAAAGCTAATAATAATAAACACTAAATGCAAAACAGAAAAAAAAGAAATCATATTTGAATAATAAAAGAACCAAAAAACAAAATTGTAAAATCATTAGGAATCTGGCTAAACAGTAGAATAAAAGAGTCATTAATTTGCAAGAAGGTAAAAAAAATAGTTAGTTAAACAGTTAAAGACTTAAAATACAAGAAAATGACAATAAGCCAGATTGTATATATAAATAATACAGTAATAATTCCAAAATTAGGCTATTTTCTACAACTAACAAAAATATTAGAAAAATGATTGATAAGATATACTAGCCACTAATATGCCTAGCAAAACACAAATACAACATGATAAAAATAGCAAACAATTGCATAATAGAGTACAAAAATCTAGGCAATTGCAAATTACTAGATCAAGAAATAATAACAAAGCAAATAAGTAGCCTCTTTTTGCAACTTAATAAAAAGAACAGCTTAGGTGAGCTAACTAGACTTAGAATAGTACAAAGATGCCAAAATGTAGAGTTAACAGATAAT